AAAATCTTTTTTTTTTTTTGGGCTCCCCTGAAAAAAACTCCCAAAAAATTTTCCTTTTTATTTTATTTTCACCCATCATTCTAGAAAACCCATTGCTCATTTCTCTCTTTCACACCACATCACTCAAAAACTCTCATTTCCATCCATTTCAAGAACAAGAAACTCTCTTGCCATCACATATCATTCATAAACAACAAATATCATTTTTTTTTTCCATCAAGATCTAATTTTTTTTTTGCCCCCCTTAAAGAAAACTCTTTAACTTTTTTTCCTATTTATTACTTTTTCACCATCATCACTAAGAAAACTTTCATTTCCACCCATCCCAAAACAAAAAAACTCCTTGCCCATCACATATCATTGAAAACCCAAAACAAAAACTCATCTTTTTCGCATCAAGATCCAATTTTTATTTCAAAACAACTCAAACCCACAAAAACCCTTCAACACACAATGGTCTCGCAAGACTCACCACCAAACCCATCCACCAACATCATGCACCAATTCATCATCCCAAACTCCATACCCGACCAAACCCACTTCCCACACGACCCGTTTGACCCGTACCCGGACGCGCCCCACCCGATTCCCAACCCTGCCCTTTTCCCCCACGCGCCGCCGGACATGATCCACGAGAGGCGCCTGATGGACCTTCTCGGCACACCAAATCCGGCCCAAAGGCTCTCCCTCTCTTTGGGCTCAGGCCCATGCAGCCAGATCAGGCCATTCGACCAGGCCCATTTGAATCCCGGGTACATTAATCCTGGGCCGGACCGCATAACGATGGCGGCCGCCGATTATTCTTTCCCGGGAAACAACAATGCCTTTTCCACATTAATTTCTTTCAGCAATTATCATCATCAGCCGTGCTCCACATCATCCAACGGCCAGGAATCGTTCGCCGGATGCTCGAGGTATTTGAAGTCAGCCCAGTCGCTTCTTATGGAGATGGTGAGTGTTGCGGGGAAAGATATCGAGGATAGCAATCGGAGGTACGTGGAGAAGCTGTCCCGGGCCGGACGGAAAGGGTTTTACGGGCTCCGGCCCGACTTCAAACCCGAGTTTTCGGACAGCGAGCTGTGTATTTGCTTAGTCAAGCTGATTGCTCTGCTGGAGGAGGTAAGTAGAATTATTTCATTTTCTTGTGTGGTGAAAAAAATAATAATAATAATTTTACTATTCAATATAATTTTTTGCTGTGGCCAAAATTGGTTATAATTTTTCTTCATAAATAAAAGGAAATGGTGTAAAAAAATATTTTTAAAAAGTTTGAGACAGATTTAAGAATTTGAACATATATAAGATAAAAATATAATAATTAAGAATTAATGTTCTATAATGACCATATGATATTGAATGATAATGACTGTCATTGTAAATAAGTAGAGATGTTAAACGGGTTAGCCCTAGCGGGCTTCGGTTTAAACGGTCCGGGCCTAAAAAGGCCAAATTTAAACGGGCTACTAAAAAAAGGATCTAACCCTAACCCTAGCGGGCTTCGGGCTAAACGGGCTATGGCTATAATAATAATAATAGTATATAAAAAAATAAAAAATAAAAAGAGCAAAAAATATAAAAAAAATAATAACGGCTAATTAAAAATTATTTTAAACGGCTATTTACTGTCTATCACTATGTTTCCTGTATTTCTTATTAGTCGTTCTGATTGGCTTAAATATTTTGGTATGAAGTACAATAACAATATTGTTAATAATTATCTTTCAAAATCATAATAATCCATTACAACTCGTACTTACATGTGAAGTGGAATATCAAAATTGTAATATACAAAGAATCTAAGAGCATATCACTTACTTGAGCAAACATTTACACCGCCCAACCCTAGTTAAACGGGCCAGTCTTAACGGGTTCCGGGTTAGCCCTAGCGGGCTTCGGGCTAAACGGTCCGAGCCTAAAAGGCCCTGATTTAAACGGGCTACTAATAAAAGGACCTAACCCTCTTTTTTTTGGGTTAAACGGGCCGGCCCGTCGGGCCAAGGACCATTTAACATCTCTNTTTAAATTGTGATATTTAGATATGTATAACACTAAAATTAGTGATTTTATTTTATTTTCATTTCAATGACATAAATGTTGCCATAAAAAACCTCCAGAATGTCATTTAACTTTTAATTACATTTACTTATTTATTCATTTTTGAAATTTTTTTTAGGTAGAGAGAAGATACGAGGAGTATTATCATCACATGGAGGATCTGGTGACGTCATTCGAGATGGTAGCGGGTTTAGGGTCGGGCAGCTCGTACACCGCGCTAGCCCTACAGGCCATGTCCAAGCATTTTTGGACCCTTAAGAGCGCTATCATGGCCCAAATTCGGGCCGTTAGACTGAAGATCGAGAAGGATGGGCCCAAAATCAGCTCAACGTTGTCTGGGCTGAGCCTGTTGGACCAAGAGGGCCGCCAGAATCGGGTCTCGCTGCAGCAGATTGGGCTTCTGCATAACTCGCGCCAGGCCTGGAAGCCCATAAGGGGACTCCCCGACACCTCGGTCACCATTCTTCGGGCTTGGCTTTTCGAGCATTTTCTGCATCCGTATGGATTTTTTTTTTTTTAATTCCTACAAAATTAATTAATTTATACTTTGGAAAAAAAAAATTATATTCCGTGTTTTTGCTAATGTGTGTATTTTTTTGAAAAAAAAAAAAATCGTTACAGTTATCCTAACGACTCTGAAAAGCTCATGCTATCAACACAGACTGGCTTATCAAAGAATCAGGTAAATTTTTTTGTGTTTAGCTCCAAATATTTTTGTTTAGCCTAATTATGATTAAAATTTTAGTTATCTGATCTTCGTCGTGTGAGTTGACCTAATCGTTAGGCGGGTCGAGCCTTTTTATAACTTGTTAACAAATATTTTTCTTGGTGGGATTGAATTTTCTGATTGTTTATGCAAGCATGGTGTTGTGGGATTGATTTATTATTTTTTTTAATTTTTAATTTTTAATTTTTTCAGGTTTCGAATTGGTTTATAAATGCTCGAGTTCGACTGTGGAAGCCGATGATTGAGGAGATGTACAAAGAGGAATTTGCAGATTCGTCGACTGAGTCGGACCAACTGCCGACGAGCACGGAGGCAGTCGGGGATTCTGCCGAGGACTTAATTTGAAAATATTTATTTGGTGCTTATGAACCATAAAAGATAATTTTTGTTAGCATAAATTATATGTTCTTGTTTTGCAACTGTTGCTGCTCAAATCAAAATGATTTGGGCCATAATGTTATGCTAGAGTGTAGGCACCAAATGAAATCTGCCTAATTTTCATTTTACAAATGATATCTTATATCATTTGGATTGGACTATATTACTTTGGTATTTTAAAGAAAATATTTATACTATCAAGTATCAAATGTCATAAATTGTATTTATATTGATTTTAAAAGTCTCTAACAATTTTACAAATACAAGCTACGAGCAAAATGTCGAACAATTTTATCAATGTAAGCTACTAAAACTCGATTTGGTAGTCCGATGTCCTGCAAAAAGCACATTTTTCGAATAATACATTTTCGTTTCTATCATCCCTCGTTTGAAATTTATGAAAAATTACTGTGGTAGGACCAGGGACGGATTTGTATTGGGCCCGGGGGGGCCATGGGCCCCCTGAATTTTTTTCAAAAATCAATAATATATATATGTGTGTAAAAAAATAAGAAAAATATGTATATAAATGTAAAAAGTATTTACAATATATTAATAAATAAAAGTTCTTTTTATGTTGTTTTAATTAAAATTAATAATATTATTTATTTATTAAAAAATATACTAATAATCCTCTTTTTTACATTTCTAGATAAATTTGAAAGAATATTTATGATAATTTACTCTTTGGGCCTCTTAATTGTAAATCGATTTAGTAATGTGTAAAAAATCCAGTATTTAGTTGGATTGTTACGTTTTATAATTTTGATTTTTTACTTTCACATATTTTTAATTTTTTCTATTTTCTTTTTAAAAAATATTCATTTTATAAACTCTCATTAATAAAGATGTTATGCAATGTGCTGCAAACGTTCAAATTTCTCAATAAAAAAAACTCATTTTTTTCCATAAACTATAGATGGTAAACTTAAGTTATAAATATATGAAATCTCGTATTTTTTATTTTTTTATTTTTTATAAAAGTTTGAGGGTGATACAAATTCTTAAGTTTAGAAAAACTTGATGGTACACATCGATATTTATATTTATAGTAGATACATTTTTATATGAAATGCGCGTTTCGACTTAACTACAAGCTCCTTAGAACAATTAAAATCGGACCCCCTGAATAAAATTCCTAGATCCGTCACTGGGTAGGACAATCTTTTTAGTAAAAGGTCTTTTCATCCATAATGAAAGGACCACAGGCTGTAAAGTAATAAGGCCACAGTGAATACAAGTTATAAAGCTTGTTGACATTAAACTAGGCTCAAAGCTTGTTTAAGCCTTCTAATTTATTCATTCATCTATGTATTATTGTAATAAGACATAGTTGATTTAAAATTCCAGTTAATTTGCCTTTTCCATTTTCAAGAATATATTTGTGTATATATTTTGTAGTCATGTCGTGTCGTATTTTTCTTTCATTTCATGTCGTGCCAGACATTGTCAATGCAACTCCAAACCCCTCAAATTAAAAGCAAATAAATCCTTAATCACATCAAATTGAAATATCAATTTGTCGCTAACATCACTACCACACGTTTTACTTTCCTGATTATACGATGCATAAAACACACTGAATCATGAAAAGGACAATACTATAACTATTACCTAATTCTGTTTAAAGCAACTTTACTCTTATTCATGGATGGCCACATGCTTTCTTTCATATGTTAATCATCCCATGCACAATATGGAAATAGATTCTTCATAAGAATAGAACAATAAATTTTAAGATATTATGATTTCAATGCAATATATGTAAAGCAAGATGGACAGAGTGCTAGAAATATTTGATTTGGTCAATATATGTAAATTAAACGTGTTCAATAGTCATACTCTACAAGAAAATGATGAAATTCCAATAGAAAATTCAAGCGAAAATATATTTCAATAGAACTCAAACGACAATTCTTTATATTCCAATGCTATTATTTTCGTTGAAAATTTTCAATGGATTCCAACGGAAATTCCAACAAAAATATTCTGTTGCAATGAGTTTTCTATTGGAATTTTCGTTGGATTTTGACGATTCGAACGGTATATTTATTAACGGGGTAAAAACAAACATTCAAACAGTAAAAAATCGTTGAAAAAATAGTAGTTGAAATCATCAAATTCCATCTAAAATTCCAACGGAAACCACATCCAAACGAAATATTAACATTGAAATTTTCATTGGAATGACTCGGACAGACGCCATACCATTTGAAAGTTTCTTGTGTTTATTCCTTCGAAATAAACTTGTTCATTTACCGTGAGAAAAAGAGGCCAATTGCCAAGGTTGGGAAGAGAGGATATCAAGGGGGATATTTGTGTGATTTTCTTACCATATATGAGGGAGTTACAAAGGATTTTAATTCTCATGACTGACAATAACTTGACCGAAATTTGTATCCAAAAGCTATGGAAACACGATTATAATGAGTGAAATTGGAGGTTACAATT